GTGAATGTGAACTATATCAGAACACGGACCCCGCCGCACCACGCACCGAAGCTGCACAATGAGAATGTACCTTCCGCTAGAGAGTGGAAAGATGCATCGCCATATTTTTGTATTTTTCACGTTTGCTGAGTAGTCCGCCGACGCCTCATCTCATAATTGCTATGTATATGCATACGGATTTTATTTTTTTTGTTCCCCTTCGTTTTTCTTACCAAAGTCGGACCTTCCTTTCTTCCCTCCGAGCTCTGGTCATTCTCGTATCCACGTGGAAGACGTCAGGAACAGGCCGCCAGCCACGTGTCAAAAATGGGCGACAGTTCGAAACCCCGTTTAGTAGGCAGAGTGTGCGGAGTGTGCGGAGTCTCTCAGTGACTTGTGCGAAGACGGCTTGGGAGTGGAGAGCGCCACGTGTCAAAAATTGGCGACAGTTAGTGGGCAGCGTGTGCGGAGTGTGCGGAGTGTGCGTCGTCTCTCAGCGACTTGTGCGAAGACGGCTTGGGAGTGGGGAGAGCGCCACGTGTCAATTGGGCGACAGTTCGAAACCCCGTTTAGTAGGCAGCGTGTGCGGAGTGTGCGTCGTCTCCCAGCGACTTGTGCGAAGATGGCTTGGGAGTGGAGAGAGCGCCACGTGTCAAATGGGCGGCAGTTTGAAACCCCGTTTAATAGGCAGCGTGTGCGGAGTGTGCGGCGTCTCTCAGCGACTTGTGCGAAGACGGCTTGGGAGTGGAGAGAGCGCCACGTGTCAAATGGGCGACAGTTCGAAACCCGGTTTAGAAGGCGGCGCCGCTTCTTGCGTTTTTGTATCCGTGTCTGTGCGACAACAACTCCCTGTGCGACGTCTGAATGATGTCTAATGCCTCCCTTGCTTCTTTTGAAGATGGGAGGATGATGACCGTTGGATTTTTTTTTCGTTTTTTATTTTTTTGGCTAGCATTATTTTGCCCGACTTTTTTTTTTGTTTTTTTTGTCTTCCCCCCCCTCCCCCCAAAACGCTTATAGCTTATTAGGCCGTGTACTCACACTGTGCATCTTTTGGGGGTGGGGGTGAACTGTGCACTTTTTTTTTGGAAAATATATATATATTTTTATGCTAATCTTGTCTGTATCGTTCCAATTTTAACGGATGTCCCTGAGGTCGGCTAGATAGGCAGTTAAAAGGGAAAAAAAAATAAAAAATCCTCCTGTGACCACTTGCCCTTCTTGATGAAGCAGCTACGTAGGGGTATTTGCTTGTGAGAGCATATACTCGCACTAGGACTTTCCTGGATGTATATGGCGGCTTTTCGGACCCGGGGTAGATGCACCTGACCGGATTTACGTGCACAGGGAAGTGGAAAAAGTCATAATGTCAGTGAAGTGTTCTGCCGCTCAGCTTAAGGAAAGAAGACACGTCGCACAGTCGTTTATCGTCGTCGTCGTTTACTTGAGGAGGGGAGCACCTGCCGCTCAACTTCGATGTGTCAGTGAAGTGTTCTGCCGCTCAGCTTTTTTTTTTTTTTTTTTTTTTTTCTCCCCCGCTCAACTTCGATGTGTAAGTGTTCTGCCGCACAACTTCGTGTGTGACCGATATGCGTCCCCTGACGACGACGACGGAGAGGGGGGCCTGCCGCTCCAATTCCGCTGCTAAACTGCACACGTGTCTGATGATTAACAATTTATATTCACGTTTATATTCATATTCTTAAAATTTTGCATTTTTTGTTGTCTTCGATTCGAGGCGGGAGATGTGATTCCATCGCTAATATAAGTAAATACCCCTTCGGTCATTTACCTTCGACCTTCCTGACCCCAATTTCGCTGATATTTTGAACCCAAATCGTCAGGTCTTTACCGTGTTCCCGCCAGTAGGACCTCCTGACAATTTCGGTTAATAAGGAAAATAAAGAAAAAAACACGCTGAAATTACGGCCAGTCATTTTTTTTTTTTTAACCAGGAAACTACGGCCTTTTTTTTTTTTTTTTAATTTTAAAACCAGGACTAACTTCCGCGTTCCTGCCCGCAGAGTCAGAGGCATAATTTGTGGCGTGTGGCTTGATTGGCTGATGACGATGGTGGCACTTCGTTAGGAGGCAAAAAAGGCTTGGCCTTCGTGTCGGTCTTCATTTCCCGTCCTCGCTCTGTGTTTCCCTACTTTGTTAACATTTCGTGTTTTTTTTTAATTTATTTATTTTAATTAGTGTTTTTTTTTTCTGTCTTTCTTCTCCCTTATTTCTTTTTTTTTTTTAAATTAGTGTAGTTTTCTGTCTTTGTTCAGTTCTTCTCCCTCTCCCTCTGTTTGCCTCCTCGTTACTCTTACACCAAATGTAGCTTGGCTGTCGTTCTGTCTTTTTTTTTTTTTTTTTTTTTTTTTGGCTGTCGTTTTGTCTTTCATTAGGCGGGTAGCACATTTTCATTGTCGTTGCTGTGGGGAGGGCGGCAGGTCAGCCGAGTTGGAAGTCTAAACTCTATTCATACGTTCGAAAGGGGACAAGTTTTTTCTGTTGTAGGCGGTCAGTTCCGTCTTGTCATGGATATCAATGTGCTAAATTATAGCGTCTCTTCTTCTGCTTCTTCTTGGCCGCTGTTTTCACTCTTCTTCTTCTTCTTCTTGTCCTTGTGCGCATCCTTCTCTGTTGCCTCCATTCTCTCTTTCTTTTTCGTGTCGGCTCCATTTCTCTACTGTCTTCATTTGTTTGCTCATCTCTACTCTCGTAGAGTCTTTTCCTTCTTCTTTCTTTACATCTTAGTCGCTTCTTCTTCTTTGCGTTCTTCGCATTCTCTCACCGTCCTTCCTTTACGCTCCATCTGTTTCGCCGCTGGGATTGCCGCTGGGATTGCCGCTGGGATTGCCGCTGGGATTGCAGCCGTAGTGGGGAACACGATATGCAGAAAGGAACTATGGACCGCGTTTGCATTCTGAAATGCTCCTTCTCCCGCCCCCTCTTCTTATTACTCTCCTCTCTCCTCCCTCGTCCCGTTCAATCTCTCCTCCTCCCAACTCCTCCTCACTCTTCCAACTCCTCCACTTCTCCTCAAACACCACCACTCTCCCCTCCTTCTCCTTCCCCTCGATTCTCTCTCTCCTTCTTCTCTAACAGCGTCACACTCCCCTCCTTCATCCCCTCCTTCGTCCCCTCCTCCTGGAACTCCTCAACTCCTTAACTCCTCCTTCAACACCACCACTCTCCCACCTTCTCCCTCCTCTCCATTCTCGTTCTCCTACTCTTTCCAACAGCGCCACTTTTCCGACTTTCGTACCCTCGTCGAACTCCTCCTGCAGCTGCTCCTTCATCTCCTCCTCATCTAACGCCACTACTGTCCAACCTCCTCCTTCCCCTCCGTTCTCTCGTTCACCTTCTCCGCCTCCAATAGCCCCCCTCTCCCACTTTCTCCTCCGCCTCCAGTGTCTCATTCTCCTCCTCTTCGTTCGTCTGTCCAAACTTCTCCTTCCCCTCCGTTCTCTCGTTCACCTTCTCCTCCTCCAACAGCCCCACTCTCCCACTTTCTCCTCCGCCTCCAGTGTCTCATTCCTGTCTCTTATACACATCTAGATGTGTATAAGAGACAGCCTTAACTCCTCCTTCAACACCACCACTCTCCCACCTTCTCCCTCCTCTCCATTCTCGTTCTCCTACTCTTTCCAACAGCGCCACTTTTCCGACTTTCGTACCCTCGTC